TTCTGACTCCATAGTCAAGTACCTTCACTACATCCCTCCCTCAAGTCCAGTCCCTTAAGAAAAAGGAGTAAATTCAGTCATTCAACAAGCATTTACTGTGCACAATGTACCATCAACTCCTGTTCTAGATATTAGGGTTAAAGCAGTGAAAAAAATGGGTAACACACAGCCTTTATGAAGCTTACATTTTAATAATTAAAAGGAAAGAATATTTCACATGCCTATATGGAATATAATACTGTAAAGATGTACATTTTTTATAACATAATCTATAAATTCATCATAACTCTAATCGAAAGTCCCAATGTAATTTTTTATGGAACTTAATCAACTTATTAACTAACTTCACGTGAATTACCCAGAAATTTGAAATGTCGACATTAATGATAAACAGCACAGGAAATGCAGAGGCATACAAAGGGAAACTCAGATATGGATATAGGTTTGTAATACACTTGGTATACACCAGCAACATTCCAAAGCAACTGGAACATGATGATGCAGGTTGACAACTGTCTAAGGATTTCTATCCCTATTTTAAAATAAAATAAGCTACCAGTAGAGTACATCTTTAAAATATCCTAGAAGAAAACAACAGGCCTTTAGGAGAAGGCTCTGAAAGGTTTTCCTCTCTGAGCTGTGAGGACGACACAGGCAGGCAGCGTTGGGCACTGGTGAAAGCGGGACTGCTAAGAGCTGGAGCTTTCTCGACAGCACCTAACAGTATTAAACCCTAAAATTAAACGCCCCGTAAACAAATGCCAAAACTCAATACTGGAAAAGGCATACGGAAATTGGCACTTCACCTGGGCATAACAGTATGGAAAGCAACATGGCAATGCATTTTTAAATCTCAGTAAGTTTCTTTAACCTTTGACCTAATAATTCTATGTTAAGGAATCTGTCTAAGGGAAAAAAAATAATCATGAATGTTTTCAGAGTTAGTTCTAAGGATGTCCATGGCTCTACTGCTTATAACAGCAAAAGTTGGAAATAATTTAAACGTCCAATAAATAATAAGGAAGGAACCAAGCAAATGACAGTACACATTTAGGGTGAAATATTATGCATAAAATACTTTTCCCCCCACTTACTACAATAGGCCAATGTTTAAAATGTATTTTGTAGGAGTAGATTACAAGTATATGATGATTTTAGCTTTTAAAAGCTATCATATATGTAAAGGCTAAAGGTTTTTCAAGCAATATTTTAATGGTGATGGGTGGTTTATAGAATTTTTCTTTGTACCTTTCTCATTTCCTAAAGCTTCTACATAAAAAAAGCCTTTTTTTATTTAAAAAAACAGCTGTTTTTCAGAAAGTGATATATTTAAACAATTACATAAGTAATGAAAAAACTTAAAATTCTTACATTCACCCTACAACATGGTCAAAATAGAATTCTTTATTGTCAAAGCTTAATTTAGTTCTAGGTTTTGTAGTTCTGAAACTTCAAGCTGCAAAGATAAAAAACATCTGCCAATGTTTGCTTAAAAGTTTCTGCATTTTGAAAAGAGGAAGTTGGAATAATTTGTACTCTGAAGAAAAATGTTAACTATCAAGTGCAATGACAAACTTCAAGTTCAAGAATTTAGAGACAGTGAGCACTAGTTTACCAAGTACCAAGGGTAATCTCTTCTGCTGGTGACCAAGAAAAAAAAACTCATATGAAACAATAACAAATAATAAACAAGGGCAGATTTTGCTGTTAAATGAAGTTAAGCTTGAGGGTGTTAATCAATAAATACTTTTACCTACTTAGGAATGGGGTGTTGTGTTTAAGAATACATACCTAGTTCCTTAAATAACTGACATTAATTACTATTATCTTTAACTGCATTAGTATATAAAAATAAACAGTTCAATTTATAAGAGCTTTCAGAAGTAATATCTAGGAAATTTCTTGTAAAAAAAACTATAAAACTTCAAATGTAGTGAAAATGTTCAATTTAGTAGACCGTAAGAATTTACTATATTACTTAACATTTTTTTGAAACTATATACTATTTAATTAATATATATACATATGAATTATAAATATGATTAAAAAACAAACTCAGTGCCATAATCAATGCTGACTCATAGCGACTCCCGTGGGTTTCAGAGACGGTAACTGTTTACAGGAGTAGAAAGCCCAGTCTTTCTCCCATGGAGCTGCTGGTGGTTTCAAACTGCCCACCATGCAGATCACAACCCAACGTATAACCACTATACCACCAGGGCTCCTAAATATTTAAAAATGTATCTTTTTCTATTTACCTGCGCATACATATGAGCGGCCTTCAAAAAGCCTGGAAAGATTGTATTTTGTTCCAGTTCCATTTGTCCACAAATTTCACACACACACACACACACACACACACACACACACACACACACACACGTTTATTCCTTTATTAATTTTTATAATGGTTAAAATCATAAAGCGTTAACAGAGTCTAGAATCTACAACAC